GAGTGACCCAAAGCGGTTGGCCCCGCGTGCGCGACACTTGGAATTGAGGTGACTCTTCACCGGCGTTGGGTGAGTTTTCTCTGCACTTGACCGCATTTTGCGGTATCGCGCCTCTCGCGAGCGTATAGGCCCCGCTATGCGGCAAAACGATCAACTATCGACCTCTGATCGGCTTCTCGGTGTACAGGCTCTGCAAATGCCGCGCAACAGCGCTCAGCTGCCTCCGGTGAGCGCGCAGTCTCGCGCCTGCTCGCCGCCGGCTGCACCGGCTTCGAGCTGTCTTCACGACGACGTCACGGATAGCCGCGGAGTGATTTGAGGTTGTCCAGTTCTGAGAGAGACGTTCCGCCCGTCACTGTGTTCGCATGCGCGTAGTTTCTCGTTGAGGAGCTGCGTTGTTTTAGCACTTCTTTTAAAGCTGATGTCAGCGTCGGCGCGTGAAATATTTTCAGCTTCGGAAACCTGCATAACAGGAGTGGTTTTATCATGAACACTGTAAAATTAGTACTATCGCATCATGCTCATGCTGTGGTTCAAGGTCGTTAGAAGAAAGTCATAGTTTGCGAAGCTTAAGTGCAAGACATCTATGCACGATAACACAGATGAAACGCTTACAGTGGATTTATGGTATATACCGGCAGCTTTCGCCTTAAAATGCGGGTTCAAGGGAGCGATTTCAAGAAGCAAAGAATTAAGCTAATATGAAAGTGGCCTGCCTGAGTAGTGACAACTTCATATCAAGCCTTTACGCTTGCATCGCATGCCGTCAAGTTGGTATTAGAGTGGCGGACCTTATATTTATTGCGAAAATTCAGTGCTTTAAACAGCATGATGCAATAGGTGTTCTGTTCCACGTAGAGTGCATTGGTTACTCGTAATCTTTCCCGCTGGTGCGTTCAGACTTGTTCGATTGATTGATATGTGGGGTTTAACGTCCCAAAACCACCATATGATTATGAGAGACGCCGTAGTGAAGGGCTCCGGAAATTTCGACCACCTGGGGTTCTTTAACGTGCACCCAAATCTGAGTACACAAGCCTACAACATTTCCGCCTCCATCGGAAATGCAGCCGCCGCAGCCGGGATTGAATCCCGCGACCTGCAGGTCAGCAGCCGAGTACCTTAGCCACTAGACCACCGTGGCGGGGCCGTTCAGACTTGTTCCTATATTTATCTCGGACCACAACTTTGTCGAGCGAAGCAACACACAACACCATTGTGGTGCTCAGCTCCGCTGCTCAATAGAATCATGAAAAACACTATCGACGATAGTGGAGCTTCATAGCGACGGTATTCAACGCTCAGCTTCCTCTAAATTCTTGGCTTTTGTATTTTTTTATGTTCTCTTGATAGTCATCAACGTTTGTGTTATATATTGTTTGTTTGCTTGCATAAAGCCAGCGTTATCAATAGACAGAGAAATGTTAACGGGCAGATGTCACGAAGAAACAATGTTTTCCCGCCAGCAGTCCTGTAATTATTGTCATTTGCGCCAGTCTCTGGAGGGCAGCGAAGCTGCTTGCGGCAAAGAACACGGTTTTTTGGCCAAGTGCCCATACCCATTCGGAAAGATCCCAACATTATATATTTCCTTCTTCTTTTTCTTCTCTCACAGTGAAAAAAAATAAACAAATGGGAAAAAAATATTGATTTGAGATCACGTGACTTTTCAGTGCGTGCTTCTTAGAAATTGGGGTGCCATGTAATCTACACAAAACTTTGTAAACGTTTTCGACAATAGGAAAAAAAAAACCTGCACTAAGATGGAATGACACTGTTGCGTCGTAGAGAGTAAAACAAAGAAACACAAAACTCTTAGGTAACATGCCTCGAGCATGAAGGAGCACGAGATAAGTATCATTTTTTTCGTATTTGTGCGATGGGCGCTTATATCTATTGCAGAAAGTGATCATTAAATCTTCGGCAAGTACAGTGTGTCACTAACTTATCGGTAGTCGCTCACAGAACGCACTATTTATTTTGAAAGCTTTCAAAGTTGGATTTTCAGCGTATATTTATGCCAAGCTGCTGTCTGGAAGGAGCCCTCTTGCGCACCAAATTCTTTATTTAGTACAATATACGTGAAATTTTCTACTACTTATCATTTCGTGGAAATTTCTAAACTGGAGCAGTGTGAGCAGAAGACATTGATAAAAGGAAGGAAGATACAAAATGTTGAGGAAGGCAATATGCAAATAAAAAATGGAAAGTTTTTTTTTAGCTTTTGACGAGCATTTCAGCGAGTCTGTATATTGAAGCGTCTACCATAACAACTAAGTTGAAATTGGAATAGAGAGAGAAATTGAAGTCATAGTAGCAGTTTCTGCGGCAAATCGATAGAGTGATGATAATAGAAAAAAGAAAGCGTTCATCTCAGACTGTATTTATACCTCTAGCAGTGTGACGATATAAATTGAAACAACGTGTGTGCTACTAGCACTTACAAGCTGTCAAAAAACAATCAAAATTAGGGAGAGTATTGGAGTCGTCCTATATAATTGTAGAGCGCGTTCACAATTACTTGAGATGCTATACGTTTTCCAGTCTAGTGTGATAAAAGTGCTGCCGCTAAATCAAGGTATACATATAGCAGCTGTAAGAGATACCGAAATGAACAGGTAGAATGAAACACTAGAATTACGTCACTTGCAGATTTGTCAGCACTTCAGTATTTCATTTTTCAAAAATTTGACGGACAGTTGCATGCAGTGAACAGCTGATGCTTCTTCGCTACAGCTGTTCATTGTTTTATGACAATGAATGCCACATTCTTAATAGCTGAAAAGTTCAACCCGAGATTTCGTGTTGATCTCATTTCTTAATGTTACATAAATATATGTAATTGTGCTGGTAGTTTCGTGCTCAGTACCACCTACAAATAAAAAAGTATTATTAAACTGTAACTGCTTATAATACCTACAGTGTTAACATTATTTAAATATTTAAGTAAAAAAACAAGTTTTTGCAGAAGAGCTTAGATACTGAATGTATGGGGGGGGGGGAGTAAACCTTAGCATATGGGAATAAAACGGCGTGTTTTTTTTTGGGGGGGGGGTGGAAGAGTTCACAATGAGTAATGAACTCAATGGAACGTAAATGTCAAGCTGATTTCTGTCGTAAGTACATCTGCAACAATGCAACTACTTTTATTCGGATGCCTTTTAGTCACTGCTTAAATCCTGGTAATCAAAGAAAAGTGGGCAGCCTGCCAATAAACGCACCAGTCTGGCTTCGCAAAGGACGCTCTTACTAAAAATGTTTTGCTACGTGGCTGCACACGAATTCCAGCTAAGCAAGGAAGCCAACTTACCGCTTACCGTTTGTACTACTTACTTTCTGCGTTACTGCACCTAACAGACGTTTTTCGCCGTTCTTGCTTACGGTTCGCTCAAATAAGTTCGATACTCCTCTCACGAACTTCATGACTGCACGACACGAGAAGCGGGTTTTTCGATAATAGTTCATTTTGGTTGGAAACGTCTGCGAGATTAAATTTGTTTGACCATTGAGTGACAATTATTCTTAAGCTTAGGAAAGCTATTTACGATATGAAGAAATACTTTGCAGATATCTATAACAAATGTTTTTTTTTCGTTTGGGTTGCTGGTCATATTACTGGAGACAGGGACACCAAATACCCATAAGTACATGTTTAATACATTCTCCTACATATATTTTAAAAGCAGATATGTTTGCCACTTGAAGGCAACTTCGAGAGTGATGGGCTCTTAGCGCAAATCAGCTGTTCTAACTTGGCGAAAAGAACACATAATCATAGAGTAGAACGCATCAACCTGCTTTTCTTCACGACAGTAAAATATAATACGAAAGCTTAGCGAAGAAGATCACCTGCCGCATGACTTGATGAAGTGATTGCGAATTCAATTTTATTTTATACAGCTCGCATTCCTGTACTTGTATGTAAAAAGTTACCATGACGCGTAGTAATATGCGCTGTTTCGCCATATTTATACGGGGGTTGCACGCACTAAGCTTTTGTCTGAAAAAAAAAGTTTCATTGTGGAATCTGCGCTTTGCGTATGTCGGGAATGGGCGCATGAAATGCGTGATTTGCCAGACTAGCCCTCGTACACTCGCATCTGAGCTCTACGAAAATATGACGCAAGTAAATAATTCGTTGTCACTTTGGACAGCTCATTTATTGTGACCTCATGGAACTTGAAAGAACTGCTGTCGTTACATATAAACACCTCGTCGTAGAATTCCGCAGCTGTGGTTCAGTGGCTACGGTGCTTGGCTGCTGAGGCTGCAAGATGAGGCCGAACGCGGCGGTCGCCTTTCAATGGAGGCGAAAGGCCGTAGACCCATTTAGGCGCATACGTTAGAAAACCCCGGGTTGTGGTGATTTCCGGAACACTACACTACGGCATGCTTCTATTTGGGATACTGGCTCGTAAAAGTCCAGAAGATTGTAATTATTGCTTTTTAGTACAGAGTTGTGCTCGAAACGAACGGCACAATTATAGGTGTGCTTACATGCGATCGTTGTTCTTTTTCCTGTTAACACATACTCTTTTTTAAATACTATGTGTGCGTGTTGGTCTACACCGGTGTCATTTTTGTTATCATGAATAGTTTTATCTATACGTTAAAGAATAGTTGCTCATTTAGACCACTTCACGACTACCTACTAGCGTATAGGACTACAACAGAACTCTTCGCAAGAGCACAGGAGCCAGTCATACTGTTACGTCAGAAGACATTACCAGCAAGAAATGGCCGGCCAATCAACAAGGCAGCTTCCACAAAAGAAACGATTACAGTCGGCGACATTAGCAGTTATTATTACAACTGAGAAGCCTTTAAAAATTGCTTAATGCATGACCGACAGTGCATGCGGATATAAAATCTACGACGATGCTAAAGAGGCATCTTCATTAAGGTTCACAAAGCTCAACATTATTGTTTTTTCATATTTGCATGATTTCTTTTACGATCCTTGCTGCACAATTCAGTGACTACTGCCATTTTTCGCGCAGTGGACCTGCTGAAGAAGTTAGCAGAGGTTCCAGATTTGGCCAAGCTTCGCGTAGGTGCTGGCGGCGCGACGCCGCAGCGCAGGCGCTCGTTGTTCCAGCCGACACGCGCCCAAGAACTGACGGCGCCGCAGCTGGACGCGGCTCAGCAACAGCTCCTCAACGCTCTTACCAAAGCTCACCAGCAGCAGAGTAATAAACCTGCCGGGTCGCGCCAAGGCACTCCGCCCGTGGCCAACGCCAAGCCGGCGCCGCCGCTGCAGCCGCCGCCACAGGCGCCTGTGCAGCACGCGCAGCCCGTGTCGCTGCCGCAGCAGTTGCCGCAGCGCGTCGAAGACACCATGCCTCAGGTGCCCGGCGCGCCGGAGCCACCGCCGCGCACGCCACACGGCTCGCTGCATGGCCGGCAGACGCAACGCGACGGCTACTCTTTCCAGCAGGCGATGAACGACCACTTCGAACAATACCGGCGCGAGCGGCCACCATCACGCACGCCGCCGCACCAAAAAGCTGACCAGCAGCTGCCACCGCTGACGGCCATCTACGGCGGCGCCGACTGTACGCCGGACTCTGGCGTCTCCGAGTCCATGGACGGCGACTCGTCACCGACGCGAGTGCCAGGCGGTGGAGGTGGCCGGCGCTCGACGTTGCCCAACATGCCACCGGACGAGGGCAGTCACCACCGGGCTGCTAGCCTATACGTGGCGGCTCCTCGGCGTCGGCTGGCCGCACCGGCACCCGCTGAGGCACTAACGCGCAAGAAGAGTCTTCCCAACATCGCCGACGCCGCGGCTGCCGCACCACCCTTCATGTCGCGCGAGGAGGTGTCCGTCCTCAGCTCCCAGCGCAGGGATGAGCTGCGCAGGATGCAGGAGCAGGCGCACAGGCTGCGCACCAACCCGCTGCTCTACCTCTTCAATTCTGACGTTAAGGTGCGTGGTCCAACTGCGCCGCGAACAGCTGTGCTCTCACTTGACAATTTTAAGACTTGCGCATGTTTTTTATGCGCTCAATGCCAATCTGTACTGATGACACTTGTAATCAATCTAAATTGCGCGATCAGGATGCTTCGAACCATACATAGCGCGTCTAGGGTTTCTCCTTCCTCGCTGTTCTAATAACAAAAAAAAAGAATAAAGGATTGCACACTACTGATCCCATTGAACCGGCATCCGGCATCCGTGACCCGATCTCGGGTTGTTTATATGCGCTGTGGACGTGGCAGTCTGTGCAACAGCAATGTACGCCACCTGAGAGTGCACGTACAGCGTCTGACACCTGTAAACAGGCGGCCATGTCCTTCTGTTCGTTATGCTCGGGGGTGTATGACGTGCACGAGTTATTTATCGCGTCGCCTACTCTCGCTGTCGTCACGGTGCGCTCCAGCTTCCTATGTGCACGTATACTGCAGTCGAATAGGGGTGCGCTCGATCGCTGCTGGAGAAGTTGTAGGTGCCCCACTGTGTAATGTTCGCTGCAGAACACAATATACATTCTTAAAAAAAGGTTGAAGTCAGCCTCGAAGTAAAGTTACAAAAATGAACTGGTTATGAAATATAACATTGGTGAGCATCGTGACTTTGCTTGAAAAGGGAAGGGTGTTACACTCATTCTCTTCCGAGTTTTGTACGAGTGGCTTCTTCGTTTGCAAGTTCTGCGGAGAATTGTGGACAACAAAAATGGTATGAACAAAACTCTCAAATTAGATCAGTCAACCTTGTGACGTTACCATAAACACCGCCTCATTGTCTGACTGCCCTCTGTTTAACTGTCATTATTTTGCATCTTGGCTACATTCCCATTCAGTAGTTCATCCCTTTGCTATGTCGCAGAAGCCTGTAAGTGCATTGACGGAAAAATCATGTTTAATGGTTTATTGGTGCTAGTACAAATGCGCATTTTCAGCTTGAGTTATATGCTTTGGTGCCTTTAGGCTATAGAGATAGTTAAAGAGACATTGGTCTTGCATGTTTGTGAGGCCTGAACCTCACATACCGAGGATCTTAGGAACGGGGAAGTTTCTTCGAGAATGAAATATGAAGCGGCCAGAATGTCTATTAGGGCTATGAAAAAAACTTATCTATGATAGGCTCTTGAGTACCGCTTTCAACATTTTTGAAAAATTTAATGGAACTGCATCCTCTCGTGTATAACTTGAAATGAAAACTGTAAGTAAACGTCTGCTGTCCCGTTTTTCTTTTCTTTCCTTAACACGTCCGCAATACTGGGATGAAAAACGAACTATTGTGTTTATGGTACTAAGCAATGACCCTATACACTGAACGTGCAAGTTCCACATGCGGTCTACCATATCGTTATCAAGCAGATTGCTGAACCACAAAGAGTCGTGAGCAGCCTAAACACTTGTCAGTGAGGAAATGCTAATAAATGCTCAGTGAGTATGGGGGGCTGGTCTCTTCCTTACTTTGAGGAATCTATATACCATGCCTTCGGTTATGATGAAGTGCCTGTGACGTGTTGCTTCCATCATCTCACCAAAACCACCTTGTGCGTTTCCCCTGTTTGCCACTGCTTTTACAGGATTGGTTCTCGAGGCAGCAGCTGGTGATGCTCGTGCTGTTTATAAACATCAGCCTGGCCATCATGTTTTTCAAGCTGCTGACGTAGCCGTTCCCTTTGGGAGCAGCTGGACTCGGACCCCGTGTGTGTCTCCGGCGCGCCGGTCGCGTGGCCCGTGTGTCGGCGGCGCCCGTCAGTCCCCCTGCCCCGGACTCCTGCTCTGTGATCTGCACCGGGTGCATGGACTTCGCCTTGTTAGCCACGGCACGGGCCTGCGGTGGCCGGCGGTGGTTGTTCGTGTTACTGGCTGGTTGACGACGACTGACGACAACACATACTCTTTCCCTCTCTGGAGCGTACCTCACTGTCATGCACTTGTCAGCTTTCTGCTCAATTCTCTCGTGTTCCACCAGCGGCGTTCACGGCAGCGAGAGCACCGGTTCGTATACGCGCAGCCTCGAGCGAGGCACAGCCCCCGGTTGTGCCACACCAACTGCCCGCTCAACCCGAGGCCGCAGAATTCGGATCGTCGAGGCGCTTCTTGAGGGCGAGGAGGTGCGAGAGAGAGAGAAATGTTTCCCTAATCCATCGGCCGAGCCGTCAGGTTGTATAGAAGCGCATAAAGCAGCTTGTTGCCACGTTCTTTCCAGATTCGCCTCGTAGCTCCATGCATGGTGCTCGCCCTCGTTCGCTTTGTCTCAGGTGGCCGCCATTTGCAGCACACGGTAACGTGCCCTGGATACATGCCCTATAACGCCGGAGCAGTTTACAGTTCCCACTACGCACTACGTAACAAGCGTCTGCTGCGTCCTGTTTTTTTTTTTTTTTTGTCTTGGCACTGTCATTCTTCGAGTTCTCACTTAGACGGTGTGATTGGCGAAGGAATGTGCAGCAGCTGCGAAATCAAAAGAGAAATTCAGGCCTAGAGCGGCGCAAACTCTCTGCCAGCTCTCACCGAACCCTTTCTTCTCCCCATAACGTGCATAGTTCGCTGTTCAGCATTTTAATGCATGGTGTACGAATACTTCATGCACAATCGCACCATCATCTGTAACCTGCAGCAGGAACCAGTCTCATATTTTTACGAAATATCTAATAGCAAGCAGATACCACGTCATGCTTAAAAAACAGTTATTCGCTTGCAAATAATGCCAAGCCTTCGACTAAGCGTATTGTCGATGAATAATGCATTTGGTGTTTCATACTACTAGGCCGCACCGCGCCAGCGGCGAGGCATACGTCTCATCGTCATGTCTCAGAGTCCTACTACACAACTGGACGTGAATCATCCATTTTTTCTTCGTACATACACACACCTTGTCTGCGCGAAGAAACCGGCTAGTGGATTCTGTTCGTGCTGTGCACTATATTTATCTTAGAGTACATCTTTCAGGTGATCACGTGTCAAGCGAGTGAATGAGAAGCGTACCTCTTGAAAATCACGAGCATACGAACACGAGGTGATGTTTTGCCCCGGGTGATACGCATTTTTAAAACGTGCAAACACAAGTGCACGCAAAACGTAGACCTAGCGTTGATATATGTATATAATATAAATATACATATATATATATAGATATATCAAACAACAATCTGTGGTCGTTCTTAGTTGTGCTGTGTGCCCCTTCTACGGGCCTCCTCTTCATCCGTTTTTTCCCTGTTTCTTTAAGGTTAGACTTTTGCATGTTATAGCTCAATAAAGCGCATTCACAAAGTTTGTGATGGTTTCAGACAGGCACACTAGTGCCCTACTTCAGTGTTAGCCGTAGCGCATCGCTAGGATGCACAGCATGGTGGGCCGTGTTTCGCACAACCGAACAACTTTGGTTCGGAAGCACACCTACATGTCTACGCGCTTCCAATTAGGTGCTCGTTTTCTCTATAGAAGCACGCTCACGAGTCACTTTCTTGCGGTGCGGCGTTGTACAATAAAAAGCTGCCGTTTATTCTTGTGTGTTGCCAGGTTTCACTTTAGACAAGCAATTGCGTTGTTCGTTAACAACACGTCGTTGACGTTTCAAGGCAGCTGGATCACGGCTAAGATTGGGCCTCGGGGATTGGCGAGCTTGAAAGGGGAGCAGCAGTTCTATAGTAGCCTTTCCGGCATGTTCACGATCACCAGGGACTAGAAGTATCTGTTACATATGTCGGTAAGCAGGACATTGGTGTTAAGAAAGGCAGTTATATAAGGTTGAAGAGCAGTGCATACAATATTGATGTGTGTGTTTTTATCGCCGTGATGGGACGCGATAATCTAGGGCGCTGGACTCTTCTGTTAAGGATGTGCCAGCGCCGTGTGGCCACATATCCGTTGGCACGGCCGACACGTTCGAGTCACTTGTTGAAAAGCAATCAGGAAGACGGGACGTAGTAGGGGAGGGGCACTTCACACGGTTGCAGAGCCTGCCACAAGCCATCGTTCGCATGTCACGCCCAGCCAAAAATAGATCTGTTCAAAAGATGTATTTTTGGTGCCCTCTGGTTGCTGTCGTTTTTTTTTTTTTTCAAAATCATATTTTTCTCCGGCCTGCACTGTTGCCGGCCTTTCATATGCGCACACCGATAGAGCACGATGTCCGCCAGTCTTCGATCCGGGAACCTCGACAACGCTACAGTGCTACGTGGCGGCCTGTGCAAAGCAGCTTTCACGACAGCATGTGCTGAAGCACCATTAGTGCCTCGATTTCTAGTGGTAGCGATACTGTAGCGTTAGTTCGACTTCGGATTGACCTATTTTTGCGCCCATATTTCAGTCGCCTGTCAGTCTTCTTTGTGAAAAAAGCGCGATTATAGTCGACTGTTCATAGATATTTTAGAAACTTCATTTTCGGTGTTTGGAAACAATGATCGAGGCTCTTTATGACGTTCATCTCTTTCCAATTACTTTGGGAATCAATGTTTTCCACTGCCGTGAATTGATAGGTCACATGTCACGATTTGTTTGTAAACTTCGACTTTTTGTATCTTTTTCATGTGGGTTGACAAAATTGAACTGTTCTTGTTAAACTATGTTTTTTTTTTCGTTCCCGCCGTTTACTCGTGGTGTACTTTACAACCTGCCGGAAGTTGTGTGTTGTGAAAAGGTAGGAAGTATGCCGTAGAGATTTGTTGTGTAGTGAAGAAAAACGTGGTTTCATCTTTCCGCGTAGGTTCCCAGTAGGCACAGTGGGAACGTTGTCTAGTCGCGCTTCGACTTTTCGGGGATCCCACCGTTAAACGAGCACACGAACTTGTGCCTGTCGTCTAGTCATTTGGCGCTTGCGGCCGCACCATAGTCGTTGGAGATTATTTACGCTGCTTGCGCACACGAAAAGTGACTGAGAAAACCGATAAAGTAACACTAGATTCTTGAGGCGTCAAAAACAGTGGCAAAAAGCTTTTGCGAGGTGTTTGGAACACTGTGTTTATCGGAGTTCAAGTTGAAATATACGTGGACATTTGCAATCGCCTTTCAGGATTTGGTTGTAAGATAGCTAGGCCCACATGCGTACATACAATACCTGTTAACCTGTTATCACGAATACATCTGACGATTATTAGGAAAGCCATTTGTCAGTTATAGTTTACGTGCAACGCCGATGTAGCAGTATCAATTACGATTATTTTACGGGATTTATTGTGTACTGAACATTGCTGATAAACCTACTTGCGGATGCACGACGAAAACTTTTTTGCTCTAACTCCAAATCCTACGTCTTTAGATGCAATACTTGTTGGTATTGAATGCTGACCTAAAAAAGGACAGCGCAAATTACAAAAAAGAAACTAATGCGTAGAGAATTTACGTGGCATGCGAAGCTGTGAGAATCTGCCTCGAACACGACACTGTTCTATTTAAAAACACCTTAAAGTGCAAAATTATTATCGCGAATGATTTGTACAGATATGATGTTACACAGGAAACGTTAACACGAATCGTTTGTAGAAATGTACAGGTTCTCAGCTTAGAAGCTGTGCCAGGTGAGTGGCTCTGAGCGTTAAACTTTTGCGTGCCCACCGTGAAACGAAGCAGTCATTCTTGTTGCCCAAGCTGTTTTTTTATTCCTTAAGATATTATGTTAGGATGACATTTTAAAATGTTATGACCATGTCTTTGGTTGTTTACGCAGAACTGCCTTCTTTAATTTTTTTCTCTGTTTTTTATTATGTAGAAAGTATTTATAAGGTTGTTGACGGACTTTCGACACCGGAGCGTGTATGCCAGAATTTAAATGAGCCAGAGATAAATTCGCGGCGTGACACTTTTTTGCGGCATAGCGACAGGCTTGACCAACCGCCTTCTATGGGGCCCTCACGCCGTTAGTTTTCCCGATGTCACCACAGATATATTACGCGCATGTATTTTTCTGCAGGCGATTGCATCCCCACCACTTGCTCTGTTAGGGTACTGTGAATGGCGCGACCTAACGGCAACGCGTGTCCTTTTTTTTTTTTTGCCTGGCCCCACTCCACGCAGCTGTCTATTACCGTCCCGCGCTTTTCCTTTCTGCGCCGAATTCCTTTTGCACTGTAAATGGCATGAACTCCGCCGACCATCTGCACCGCAGTTTAGCTACGCTTATTAAGACTGTCTCTTTTCACGAATACGTTTTACCTTGTTGCCAATATCGCTTAGCTTCCTACACTAGCTGCATCACTGGCTACGCGAGCTCAGACAACAGCTACGTTTTGGACAGCCTAATTTTGTGCGCACGCACAAGCATTTCCTCCTATTTTTAGTCTTCCTCGTGCTCCTTTTTTTTGGGGGGGGGGGGGCGGTGACGGGAAGTTTCCTAAGATGTGGTTCCACCACGCTGTGGTCGTAACATGATGCGTCTCACTTCTACGTTGGCAGCAGCCCCTTTTGCGTGATTGATAAGCCCGTTGTTCCAGGCTGTACAGACCCGAGCCCTGTGACGTGTAGACTTCGCTGAGTGTCGTAAGAGACGCGAAGGAGCTTCCCTTCGATCGCAGCACCTTTCGCGGGAGCACGAGTTCGTCTCTGGAATAACGGGATCATGGCAATTGTGTTGTCTTATGTATTCCTCAAATTTTACTATGCTCTTTTTGAAGGCCGAGCACAACAAAGAAAAAAAAAAGAGCTCTCGTTTCGCACTGCACAAATTATTTGAATTTCCTAGTCTTTCTTATTTCCCTGTTTTTAAAAGACAGATATTTATCAAAGTTGAACTTCTTCCCTTTACTTACGATGCTGTGTTCTGACATTTTGTGAGCAGCAGTTGTGCCTATGCCTCTTGCAGTTATTCTTTGTTGCCGTTCGTGACCACCCGTTCTCTGCCTTCAAGACACAGCGATGTGACGTGAACACATTCTGAAATAAAATCTTTTATAGTGACACTATCTCGGCGTGTTGGGCTTTGCATGCATAGCATGGTTCGTATGGAAATATGACAGTGAAAGCCAATGAATTATTACACATCCACCAAATGTAGTTCGCAATCTGTTGTAGTTGCGTTCAAAAATTAACAATGGCCGATTTTAAAAACAGCAAATAAGCTAAGCTTTCCAAGTGCCTTTTGAAAAAATGCGGCGTGCGGTTAGTCTTTGTTTGTGGAAAACGTGGGAACTCCTGCCTTAACAACGAGCAGTGCTTCCGGGTCCTCTGGCGGTGCATCTATGGTATTACAGAGAATCTGGAGACTCAACGGGAATAACGAACAACCGCCCCACATTACCTGTTGTACATAGTATCAGCAAGGGTTCTGCCAGAACGCCACTCCAAGATCCAATCACAGCGCCGTTAACACACTCTAGGATGAAAAAATGAAGAAAAATACTTTTCACTACATATCAATAAAGAAGCACACGACTCTGGGATCACATAATACAAATATATATATAAGTGTTCATGAGAAACAAGCAGCGGACTAGCATGAACTACTTAGACTTCGACAAAGCTTTTATAGTACCCTGCCTGTATGTTACACACGCAGCACAAGGGTCGTATTGGCAATAGCTCTAACGTCTTGAAGGAGGCCCTAAAACACTTTTTCAAGTTACCATGGAATGAATTCACTGGAAGCGTTTATTGCTTCACGAAGTCAACACCGCAAAAATTTTAAGAATTCATCCAGTTCGAGTGAAGTTGCAAAGGGTTGTCGCATGCTGCAATTGCATCCTCTCTCCTGTCGTCCCCGCGAAAGCGCTGCAAGCTAAGCATGGAGGGATGGCAGGGTCACAGAAAAACGTTACGCACACCTCATGACCTTGAGCACTTTTTTTTCTTTTTTTTATTCGAATGCGCGGCTTTTTTCAGTCTGATCGCGCCCACGCACGTGAACAAGTAGCGGCCTCCCGTGGCGATCTCTATAACGAGCGAGCGCACCATGTTAAGATCAGCCAATGGCTTGTAGATGGGCTTACTACGAGTTATTTTTGAGCTTATTCCATGATTTGTCCAGAGAAGAGAAAGCAATTTTCAGCTGACTTTGATAATTTATTGTGAGTTCAAGGCCGCATGCTGCGCTATAATAAGTCGCTCGCATGTTGTCGGGAGCCTTTACTACCAATTGGCAGCGTTTTGTGACCATGCTCAAAAAGTTTTTCAGGGCCCCTTTAAAAGACACTTCGAGATTGCAGCTAATCCTGGTGATGGATATACATATGATTAGCGAATTCAATTGGCCAATGGCAGGCTGGCAGCATTTATAATAGCGCACCACTACAAAAACTCAAAAGAGCGAACGACTGACACACACACACACACACACGCACACACACACGCGCGCGCGTGCCATACATACATACTGCCAACATACATACATACATACATACATACATACATACATACATACATACATACATACATACATACATACATACATACATACATACATACATACATACATACATACATACATACATACATACAACACTGCGTGTGCCTCTTTTCTGCGTCGCTGTAGTGTGCTCTGGCCATATGAATGATGAACTATACAACCAACTAGCCTGGCAACGTGCCTAAGCAAAGCATTCACCAACGTAAAGCTTTGTGACGACGGGATTGAGGAGTCAATTTATAAATAAATAGAACAGTTGTTACAAACCATGAACATCATGCAACAATACTGAAAATGTCGGCAACGTTTCGCAAAATGGATCATACGTATAAGAGAACAATCAGGAAGTTGTTTCATGAGCCTCAGTTTGCGATCAGGTTAGAATAGGTGACTGGTTTATACCCGTGCCACACGGGCAGAGAAAATGGCATTTACCCCCGAATGCGTTCAGATTTATGGCCATTTGCGCAGTGCCACACGGGCGAACGAAATGGCATTCGTACGAATGCCATTCGCCACCAAATGCCCTCGCCAAAACTCAGTTGACTGAGAAATGCCTACTCTCGACGACACAGCTCGCGAAGTGCGATTTACCTTAAAGTAAATAAAACAAATCATATTCGGCTAAAAATAAAATTTCCCATCTTTTAGTAGCACTGAACTCTTCAAAAAGTGCTTTGAACGTTATACGAAGATCAGGTTGAAATGGTTTGAAATTAATTGAAGTTCAAATGTCCTGAAGCTGGTGCATAATAACTCGTCTCTGCTCCAGAATTATTCGCTCTTGAGCACGATGCTTTGCACGGAAACACACAAGCGCTGCCGTGAAAAAATGAACTCTGCGAACATCTTCTTCTGAGAGATGCGACAGGTGCGATGCGACAGATGCCATTTTCTATTTACGCTGTGGATCTGACTAGTGTTGGCTTAGGTTGCTACGGTCGGCTGCAACGTCGTAAAACAAAGCAACAAACTAAAAGTTAGGGCAGTGTAATATGCTAATTTCTACATTTAATGATTATCTGATGTGTATGAAGCTTGTAAACGCTTGTTTATTTTTTATTGCTATTCACCCAATACTCACTTGGAAGGTGCTGCGATCGACATCATCAAGTCAAATGGCACTCGCTTTGGACGTGTAGCAGCACCGCCGAAAAAAAATGTCATTCGGGAACTGAAGGTCTCCGCCACCGAATGTCAGTTTCTATGCCCGTGTGGCACGAGTATAACTGACATTCTTTAATTGTGAGGTAAGGAAAAACAAATCCCCGGCCCGCACCGTGAGCATATTAGCAGGCAATGCCAATTAGAAAAGAAAAATGAACAGTGCTGAGCAGAGTGAAATTGTGAGGGGAAAGGATGTGCAGAAGGAGCAGACTCAAACCCCAGCTCAAACCCAAGAAAAAAAAACAACCTCTTATGTGGCGTACATTCTTGATCTTGCTGTTAACATGTTTAATCGAGTTAATCTTCAGTGACTAATATTGTGATGCGCACCTTATTGGGGCTGTCTTGGAGATCTTGCTTTTCTGTCGGTTGATAGAGTAAGAGTTTCCTCTTGATTTATAGTTCTTCCTAAATGATTGCTCTTTAAAACTAAAAAAAAAAAACTAAAAGAGTTTTTATAACTGCCCCTCCCCCCTCTTCCGCCCCGTTATTGTCAAGTTGGTTTCCATAGTGGTTTCATTAATTCTTTCCAGCAGCAGATGCGGAGCAGGTACGTGGAGTAAAACTTATTCTTGGATTTTCATTTCATTATATATATATATATATATATATATATATATATATATATATATATATATATATATATATATAGGTATGGGATATGGCACAACGGGAGCGTTGTCAACAAGGATAAATATATTTATTTTCCAACAGTTTCGGGAGGGGTCCTCCCCTTCATCAGGGGATGAGTTATACTAACATGAACTTCCAAACTTCGTTGCTGCCACGTCCCTCTCGCCTTGAAACATGTTTGCGAGAGTGAGAGAGCACTAAAAAAGAAAGAAAAAAAAAGAGAAAAAAGACGAAAAGAAAAAAAGGAAAAAGAAAAAAAAAGTAAAAGGAAAAGAGAAAAGGAAAAAAAGAAAGTAAAAAAGGGGAAGAACCACTGTCAACACTGAGAGCGAAACCAAATGTCCGTGTACGTCCGGATCCGGATGTGGACGTACACGGACACGAATGTGGACGTACACGGATGTTCTCGCTCTTGTGCATTTTTTTCGTTTCATAAACCACAATTCTTGTTTTTCGTCTTCTGTATGTTTTCGTTTTATTTTTTGTGTTTTTTCTACTTCTTTCCCCGTCTTTTTTTCTCTTTTTGTTGTCTTTTTTATGCATTTTTTGCATATTTTGTTTACATTTATTTGACCAGTTTCAGTTTGACAGTTCCTGAGCATAGACAACTATTTCATAATAATATTAATAATTTCTTTTTTCTTGTAGATTGTGTTAGGAGCCAGAAGGAGCATTTGGTTTCGCTATTTTATTATTATAAATTCAGTATGGATTGATTGTCTCTCCGCCCTTTTTTTTCTTTTCTTTCTTTTTCTTTTTTTTTTTGAACTGTGATTTTATCATGAGAGGAGTCCGCGTTTGCAATCTCCCATTTGCAATTTGCCCTGAATACCTTACTGTCCCGGAAACGTTTCAGTAATCACCTCTCCAGTTCGACCTCGCTACCCATCAGGATTTTCGAACAGCCTCCAATTCGCTCGCCGGCGGGTCCTGGGTGTCTTTTAGAGCTGTTACGCCACCATCTCCCATTCCTGATCTGCACGCCTCCCTATGCACTGATTGAACGTTGTCTGAAGGGGCTTCCGAAATCCCACCTTTATCACCAGTGGGTCCGTTTTCCTCTTTAATTTTTCATTGTTTTTTGCATAATTATGCACTAGCTCGAGGTTGCCCTGCTTGGTTGCACCAAATACAATGGTTGGTGGGCTTTAGTGTGCCCACTTTAATTCAGGGGGTCTCACCCCCGCATTCACAAACGCTCCTTCACTCAAGGGCTATCCTCGACTTGAAAAAGTCGATCGGAGCGCCGTCTCTTGGCAGACCAAGTCACTGCATGTCGGCAATATTCTACAGTGATTCTTGAGAATCGTAGCGTCAACTTCAGTCAAGCAGCGGCGCAGTGCTCAACTTAGTCAAGTGAAGGATGGAATTTAGTGGAGGAGCGTTTCTTAATACGGGGGTTAGTTCCTTAGAGCTAAGGAGGATGTAGCGGCAGGTGTCTGCTCGAGGTTGTGGTGCTCCAATTGCACTAGAGTTATGGTGTTTATTCGGAGAGGCTTAAAAATCCCTTTGTTAGTCAGGGGGTCTGGCTTCTTCCGAGAAATTGTAAGGCAGCTTCGCACGTCAGCATACTGACTGAAAAATTAAGTGAATATTCGTAACAGTTATACCACACAGCGTTTTATAGCTTCATAGATTTATTTACCTTGACCTGCCATGGTGGTCTAATGGTCATGGCCCTTGACTGCTGGAGGCGAGGATCACTGGATTTATTACGACAAACGGCAGCCGTATTTCGCTTCAGGCGACATGCACAGACCG